GTGTGTGTGTGTGTGTGTGTGTGTGTGTATATATATATAGTATAATGACACATGGGAGATTGCTATTTAAACTTGAGTTGGGAATTAGTAGACAAATTGTAAGGTGGGTAACAAATTTGTTAAAGGCAGTGCTGCAAGGGGAAGTATCAAGCTGGAAAGAGTTAACTAGAGAGTTTCTCATTCTCAGTGTTGGGATTGATCTCATTATTAATATTTCCATTAACAACTCATGACAAGGTCAGAGAAGACATTTGGAGTCAAAAGGCATCAGGTCTAGAATACTGGGCTATTGATATAGAAAGAATGAGTGACTTTGTGGACTAAAATACAAGATGAGATTAAATTTGGTAGTACAGAATCCAAGGCCATGCCCAACTTCAACTATAAGCCGAGAAGTGATTACTTAGAAGTGACTGAGGTGGGAAAGGACATGGGATACTAGATGATCATAAGATGACTAAGATGCCAATGTGATGCAGTCATGAAAAAGACAGATGGATCCTGGAATGTGTTTGTTAAGACAGGGAAATAATAACACCATTGTACAAAGCTGAGGTGAGGCCTGACATACTTAGGGATTTACCAAAATCATGGCGGAAGTGGGCTGCGCATCCTGTCCTTTAATCCTGCAGGTTCCTCCACACACACTCCTCCCTACTGGCCCTACTATGTGTTTCTGACCAACAGGGAGGCAAAAAAGTGCCATATTTAAAACCTTGCTGATCAGGAGTGAGTGGTGGGGCCCCACTGCTAATTGGTGGTGGGGGCATGCAGGGCAACCTCAAAGATTAAAGGAGCTGCTGCACAGCCCACTTCCACCATCATTTCAGTAGTTCTCTAGACATACTATTTCTGATTCTGGTCTCCCATGTTTGAAAAGGCCAAGACAGGCTGTGTCATGGTCTAAAAACACACTGGGAAGTAAACAGCAGGGAGAAGGAGGAGCTATTTAAACTAAGGACAATGTCAGCATTATAAATGGGTATAAATTGCCCATTAATGGATTTAGATTGGAAATTAGCAGATTTTTAATTATTAGAGCAGTGAGGTCCGTAAACAGCATTTTAATCAGTGCAATAAGCAAGAGATCTACCTATTTTTAAAATGAAGCTCTCTAAATATATGAAAGGTGTTATACAATGTTGTGTGTACAACAGCAGGGGATTGGACCCTGATCTAGGAGGTCCCTTGAGATCCTGTGTTCCTAATTCCCCTAAGTCTTGTAGTTGGATCTCACCTTAACGTTCATTACATTGATCAGCCTGCAACCCTGATTTGTACTTGTTTTGTTTCTTTTGGGTTTTTCTCAGAAACTTGCAGGTTTTGTTGATCAGAATAATTAGAGGGAGGGAAAGCAAGATTTATGATTTAAGATGAATGATACGTGAAGTAGGACACTTTACAGTAAAAAATGTATATAATGTAAGGCTTTTTCCAAAGGGTGCTCTAACTTGAAATAAACCTCTCTGATTGTCCCTGGAATTGAAAGCCAATATTCCTTAGATTTGAGGGTGCAGGATCAGGTCTTAAAACAGGATGTTGAATAGTGCAACGTAAACAACCATACATAAAAATATCATGCTGATTACATGCACTGGCAAAGAGGTAACTTGAGAGTTGCAAGGCTGATGGGGGCAGTAGCTGAAGGAGACTTTGAAATCCAGTGTGACAAAGTGAATTCAAGTTTTAATTGCAGGAGAATCCTGTTATGTAGCATGGTTGTATGCCTGATCTTGGATTATGGCATTTGAGACACCACCTTAATCTTGAGGCACTGACAAACTGGGCAGAATTCAAAGAAGCAACAACAGTTATCTGGGGGATGAGGAGGTTTGAGGGACTGATTAACTTTTGGGAAAGAGTACGAATGTTTTATCTGCCTGGTCAAAGGACTGAAATAGAAAACGTCTATCTATGGATATCTGGAGGCTGTGCAGTACGGGAGGTGTGGTAGGTTCTGTGAGAGCTTTTCCTTGGAAGCTGTTTATAAAACTCTAAATAATAGGACTTTGAGATTTTAGTTCAGTCTTGCTGTGCTACTGAGATGAGGGGAACTGATTGAAATGAGATTGATTAGCTATCATTTTTGCTGCTGCAATGAAGAACTCATCAAAAATAAGATTTTTGTTTCACTTTTGTTCTAGGTCCAACCCGTAAAATGCCTCCAACTGCCAGCGTCATGGACTTTTTTCAGCTATTTGTCCCTGACCATGTACTAAAGAACATGGTGGTGCAAACCAATATGTATGCCAAGAAGTACCAGGAGAGATTTGGCAGTGATGATGCCTGGGTGGATGTCACACTAACCGAAATGAAAGCCTTCCTAGGCTACATGATATCAACGAGCATTCACCACTGTGAGTCTGTCCTCAGCATCTGGAGCAGTGGATTCTACAGCAACAAGAGCATAGCACTTATCATGACACAGACCCGGTTCGAGAAGATCCTGAAGTACTTCCACATTGTGGCCTTTCGCTCCAGCCAGACAACGCATGGCCTCTACAAAATCCAGCCATTTCTGGACTCCTTACAGAATGGCTTCGACTCTACTTTTAGACCTTCTCAAACCCAGGTAAGAGTTGCCTTTTTTGGCTGTAAAAAAAGTAAGTATGGTATGACTAGGTTATGTACCAGTAAGGAGTAATAGTGAAACTGTCATGCCTATAGGTAACCATATTCTGCTAGGTATTATGCTATGAAGATAAACCATCCTTTAACTACTGCTGAACAAAAGTGGCTCTGTCCTACATAAGGTTGTTTGCCTTCTTTAACAGGAACCCAAATGATGTGGGGCATTTTCAGCTCTTGAAAGAAAAACTCAGCCATTCAGGGTTTAACCTCTTTCAATTGATTTTTACTGGATGTGTTTACATGAGACTCTTTACTGTACATTAGACTAATCTAATGCACATTAAAGCATCAGCATCTACACATACACAATTATTACCATGAAGTAGATTAGTCTAATGTGCCATTTTCTAATACTTGTAAATACAGGTACTAAAAATCAGCTCATTAAATTAATGCACCAAAGCACATGTGTGGATACTGACCGGGAACAAATTGCCTAGGCAGCAGGGGTCACAGGCAGTAGGGGAACTGTCCCAGCTTGGCTGACACTGCCTCCTAGCCACATGAAGATCAGGCTGGGAGAGCTGTCCTGACTTGGTGGGAAACTGCCTTCCAGCCACATAGAGATCGGGACCCATCCCAATCTCCATGTGACTGGGAGAGCTGTCCCAGCTGCCTCCCAGCCACATGGAGATCAGCACAGTCTCCATCTCCACACGGCTGGGAGGCAGTTGCCCGGCAGCCAGGACAGTTTTCCCCCACCCTGCAGAGATTGAGCCCAGCCTCTGTGCCCCCTGCCAGTCCAGGGCTGGCACTTGGGGGGGAGGAGGGGGACCTGGAGCCCCCTTGGCTGCTGGAGGGAGTGGCAGAGCAGCTGTAAACTAAATTGTTCCCTTCAGGAACAAATTTGCTCCTGATGGATGCATGTTCAGATGTATGCTGGGGTCTAGTTTAATGCACCTGAATTTTCTGCACAGAAAATTCTGGCACATTAATTGCACTTGAAGATTAAATGTGATTAAAATTTGCTTACTCTTATGAGTACTGCCTTTCATAACACCTCCAACAAAACTGTCAGTAAAGTGTCAGAGGCAGAAGCCAGGTGGATTTTTCAGAACCCCAGGAAGGGACTTTAGACTTCTGACACTGAACAAATTCATATGATACTGAGGAGCTGAGCATAAACATGCATGATGATATTTGTCTGACTATAGATGCATAATATGATAACAAAATGAGTTGAGATCAAGGAAATATAGTGTATGATTGGTTAAACAACTGTCCCTTGCACCTCCACCCATTGCATAGAATGTTAAAATAGCACCAATTCTGTGGGAAGATACTTACCTCTTTCAAAAATCTGAAATGGGAAGGGCAGCAAAACACATGCAATCTGAACTTTTCCTCTGTATGCTTTTTGACCATGTTCATACTTTCAGGTTGTAAGCTGATCTGATACAGACATCAGCAAAGGACAGCCTTTCTCATCTGCCCAACACTTGCTATATAACTATACACCCTGGTGTATTAGAAGAGATAAAGGACTCTCCCCTGGAAAGTGAGCTGTTAGCTATGACTAGAGACTCAATACTAGACTAGATAAACCTGATCTGGTATGGCAATGCTTCTATGGATGTGCAGCTAAAAATGGGTAGAGCATAGTAGTAAATGGAGACCTGCCTACTTTGTGGAAGAGGAGGAGGAGAAAGCCAGCAAATCAGTGTGGGTATAAAATTTAGGACAATACAGTCACTTGCAGTCCAAATTTAAGTAGATTTGAAGTAGAAGGAACAAGGCAAGCACCTTCCCATCAGGCTGTGGAAAAAAATTCTGGTGACACTTCTGCAAGAGCAGAATGGCAAGGAAAGGCTGTCAGGATTAGGGTGTCAAGATTAGGGCACTAAGGCAAAACAACAAGAAAAGGCTGTCAGGATTAGGGTGTTCCTTAGGATAGACGTGGGTCTAATCCTTATTTCTGTTGATGTTGCTGGATTAGGGGTGAAGGGTTTACATAATCTGAAGTAAACCCCCATAAGATTGGACTCCTGTGGGACACTTTTAAAAAGTTCAAATCCTATTGGAGTACAATATGAATTGTATGTTACATATCCCCCTCCCCTACCACACGTGGATTGAACCAACATGCTAAAATAATCTGTGCTATCTTTACAGTGACTAAATGTCTGGATCTCTCTGGGTCATGTGTATGTGTGTGTGTGTGTGTGTGTGTGTGTGTGT